TAAAAAAAAAAGGGGGGGAAAAAAAAAAAAATTTTTTTCCAAAAATTAAAAAAATTTTTTTGGGCCCTTTTTTTAAAAAAAAAATTCCCAAAAAAAAAGGGAAAAAAAAAAAATTTTTTTTTTTAAAAAAAAAGGAAAAAAAAAAAAATTTTTTTTGGAAAAAGGTTTTTGGCCCCAAAAAAATTTTGGGAAAAAAAAAAAAAAAAAAAAATTTTTTTAAAAATTTAAAAAAAAAAAATTTTTTTTAAAAAAAAATTTCCCACCCAAAAAAATTTTCCCAAAAAAAAAGAAAATTTTGGGGAAAAAAAAAAATTCCCCCAAAAAAAAAAAAAAAAAAATTTTTTTTAAAATTTTTTAAAAAATTTGGTTTTTAAAAAAAGGGGTTTTTTTTTTTTTTTTTTTTTGGGGGAAAACCCAATTTTTCAATTGTGAAAAAAAATTTCTTTTTGGGGGGAAACCCTTAAATTTGGGGGTTTTTTTGGAAAAAATTTTGGGTTTTTTTAAAACGAAGGGCCCCCAAAAAAAAAAAAATTTTTTTTAAAATTTTTTTGGTTTTTAAAAAGTAATTTTTCCCTTTTTTTGGAAAAACCCCCAAATTTTTTCCCAAAAAAATTTAAAAGGGGTTTTTTTTTTTGAAAAAATTTTTAAAAAAAGGGTTAAATTAAAAACCCAAATTTGGTTAAAAGTTTTTTAAAAATTTTTTTTTTTTTAAAAAAAATAAAAAATTTTTAAAAAATTTTTAAAAAAAAAAAAAATAAAAATTTTTTTTAAAAATTTTTTTTTTTCCCCCCCAAAAAAAAAAATTTTCCCAAAAATTTTCCCCTTTTTTTTTCCCCAAAAAAAATTTTTTTTTTTTTTTTAAAAAATTTTTTTTAAATTTTTAAAAATCCCAAAACCCCAAACCCCCCCTTTTTTTTTTTTTTAAAAAAAAATTTAAATTTTATTAGGGGTTTTTTTTTTTAAATTTTTTTGGTTTTTTTTAAAAAATTTTAAAATTTTAAAAAAATTGTTTTTTAAAAAAAAAAAAAATTTTTTTTAAAAAAAAATTTTAAATTTTTTTTGGTTTTTTAAAAAAATTTTTTTAACCTTTTTTTTTTTTTTAAAATTTTTTTTAAAAAAATTTTTTTAAAAAATTTTTTATTTTTTTTCCCCCCCTTAAAAAATTTTTTTTTTTTTTTAAATTTAAGAAGGGATTTTTAAATTTTTTTAATTTTTTAAAAATTTTTTTTTAATTTTTTTTTTTTTTTAAAAAATTTTTTTTTAAATTTAAATTATTTTTTAAATTTTTTTTTAAAAAATTTTGGGGGGGTTTTTTTTTTTTAAAACCCCAAAAAATTTTAAAAATTTTTTTAAAAAAAATTTTTTTTTTTTAATTTTCAAGATGCGAAACATTTCACTCAGCATGGTGTCAGACAAAGATAAGTGCCTTTTTAATTTATTCCGTTCTTATTTCATGGTTAACAATTTACTCCATGTTAATATACTATTATGTGCATGCTGAACAGGAAGGTGACATTACGATAGTGGACGGTACGATGGTGACAATACGACAGTGATATTTCGAAATTACGATGATGACAGTACCATAATAACAGTACGAGTGTACGACGGTCGCATTATGATAGAACATTGGACAATCACTATCGTAATGTCGATCTTCGCCATCGTACTGTCATGCGCTTGTTAGAGAAAATATCTAACTGAACAATGCACTGAATAAAATAGTAAATGATATTTTTGACAAAAGATGTAAGAGATCAAACGGGTTAAAGGCTTATATGGCCCCATTGTTAATGAATAGATAGTGTTAAGTCTATATTCAGAGTATTATCTCACATTTGACTTATCATCAGATATATGCCGTTGTTTTATAGCAAATAACATCAAAATATAGCAATTTTGAAAAACGCAAGTTTTGTGCCTGATGTCGTATACAAGAATTGTTATTTGTTAAGGTGTATAAACGTGCATAGGACATGTTAAAATAAAATATTAACACACCTGAATTGAATGACACCAAATAAATCAACCTTGTTTGCTTTTCCTGTAAATATATTCAAAATGTCTACATTATAAAAGTATTATTGATAACAATATAATTATATCACAAGCAGTAAATCTAATAAAATATTTAAAGATGCTGTAAGTAAACATTTATGATTTGTGATTGATAAATCAATGTTTTGTAAACTTCCCTTATTAATTGTCTTCATTTTTCATTTTTAACTACAAAACTAAAGACAACGTACTCATTTATTCGAAATGATTAATGATTGTGTAACTGTAGAATGCTTTACCAAATTCATAGTTTATAAGAGACTGGTTATATTGTAGCTTCTCTATTCCTGCCGTAAGTGCAAAGTTGCAGCTATCCATATCAAAGTAAAATGAAAATGATCTTTGCAGCAATGGAACATTTACACAACAGGAGAAACCAGTGCAGTGTTTAACAAGATGACAGTTCATGTTATCTGGTAATGTTGGCAGTGATCCTTTAAGTGGACAGTCTAGAAAGAAACGAAGATAAAAAAATAATAATGTTATTATTTTTGTAAAAACTTTTTCACATAGACATTTGAAAATGTTAAGCTATGATTAAATAATTGATACAATGTAAACAAATTATTTTGAACATTTTCTAACATACTTCACTTGCTCATCTATGCATCATTGTGCGAAACATTAGTCCGATACAAATGAAACATTTTGTTAAGGAGAGACTTGAAAGGATAACATCTCTTACGACTTCTAACATTAAATTGAGACAATAGAATTGAAATAAATTATCATGACGAATCAATAAAACTGCAACTAAGAACCGGACGACCTTTTACAGTTGCAACAACTTCTATTTGTTATGAAGTTAACAGTTCTGGACAAGAATTGTTTGATCAGGTGAATAAACAATAAATAAATGTTATTTATAGTTCCAACCATTTAACATGATAATGTCTTCAGTTATACCTGATGACCATCCGGAGTGAGCAGAAGTCCCAGCATTGCACTCCTTATCCAGAAGATAAGGAGTTATACCCAACTCTTCGAACAATTTAGATCTCAGGATGTCTGTCAGTCCATGCGTTAGATTTTTTGCGTTATCATTGATCCACTTGTCCAGTGTAAAATCTGTTTAATATGTATGGAATGTAGATAAAGAAAGAACATGCTAAATAAAATAATAGAACTTGAATATGATATCGTCTTTGAACAATAAGAATAAAAAAATTAACGAAACTTGCATAAATAATGTTGAGGAGCGAATAATTTTCATTCTATATTTGACATACAATCTTAGGAAATTTAAAGATTGTAAATTGGTACAAGCAAAAATCAGATCATAAAACTCTCATTTCTTCGAGATCTACAACAGGAGTTATTTTCATATATTTCAGTTAGAATGAAACTTTAGAAAACGAGTTTATTATTAAATAGCTATTCTTACCGGGAAGTTTAAATGTCCCGTTGAAGTTGCATAGCGGTTTTGGAAGCATCAAACTGTCAACGATTGGTACATCCAAAATGCATTTACTACTGTCGAAGCAAGCGAGCATACGTACAGATATTACAAATTGTTTGCTTGATTTTAGATCATCAATCATGTATCTGTAAATATGATATGTATGACATTTCTGTAAGTTAAAATCTGGTAAACATGCTTATTTGAGCACCTAACAAATTATTTACCAAGCACAAATCACCAAAAAGTATCAACGTATTTAATTAACTTAATATAAATCGACTAAAGTGTCTATCTTTTTTCAACATTTTCAATCTTTAACAACAACAACAACTATATATAGTACAAATAAAGTTATACCATTGCCTCTGAAATTCAAAAGCCCTGTACATAACACGATTACTTAAATCTACTTGTAGATTTGATTCCAGACTATTCTTAACATTTTAGAACATAAACACTGAATAAACTTATTAACAAGTGAATGTATTTACTCCAGTATAAACACGTCTTTAATGTTTATCTTTTGCCAGGTTCCCCATTCGTAGTCGAACAGCCGTATATTGCTTTTAAATTTTTCAATCGTAATTGACAATTGATATGCGCAAGCATCTAGGTCTACAGCGACGCTCACAGATCTTCCTATCAGTGGAATACTGACACAACATTCTATAGCTGTACAATGTGTCGGTATAGAGCACGTCATCATATCAGGCAATTGTAGATCTATATCGAGCTTACTGCATTCTAAAAAGGAAATTCATACAACTCATAAACGCTACAATTACTTTTTGGGTTTATACCAAAATATGCATGTTTTTTTTACATAAACGATAAATTATATCTTACAAACAGTGAAAATGAGCAATATTTACGACAATCTACCAGTAATTTAGTACTTTATGTTGGCAAGCATTACCAGAATTCTACAACTTAACCCAAAATAATATTGTATCATATTAAAACTTTTGTTTCGGAATGACTACGCAAAATTATATCAAATAATGCCATACTGTTTTCTAATTTGTTGACTGTCACAGCTGAGGTTTTACAATTGTTTTGCAGCATGTACATAGAAACTCCAAGCTTCTCCAGAAGTTTATCAGCAACAATGGCAGGTAAATTGTCTCCGATGTGTTCCAGTTGTTGACCAATACCCTCCAGGTACTTGTCTAGATCGAAATCTATGATTTATTCAAATGAGAATAAAAGTTGTTATAAGTGTATAGCCATTGGGGAAATTCAAAGAAACACTGTCTGGGATTTACATAGGTTGAGATATGAAAAAGAAAAATATATATCATTTATTTATATGACTTACATTTTCACTAAATTTTACTAGTTATGTTATTTGAGTAAATAAAAAACATGCTTTTAATTTGTGTGTATCATATCTACGCAAAGACTTCTATATATAACACACTTAATCTAATAAAAACGAACGAATGTTAAATGCACATTAATTTATCAAACATTTCTTAAACAAGAAAATAAACAAAAATACCAGATAGGGATGTATTCCAGTCACAGCCAATTTTTGGTATACGGGCATCTTCTAACAGAACGAGATTTTCTTCGCACGCAGATGATTTCATGCATATTGACATTTGTAAATTAAGAACGTACTGTTTTTCAGCTTCTAAGTTCATGATGGAATACCTTTAAACATAAAATCATGTAATTGTATGAAGTTGTTTTCATATCTCTTTATAAATATTTTACTGCAGACAAAAACGTTAAACATTTATTTTAAGAAATACCTATTCAAAATTGTGTATTTATTTATATTTTAGTTCGATTGTATATAAGTTTATAGACAGACTCTCGACTCCGTTCCAGGAAAAAAAACAAGTACCGAGAAATGACAGTTGAGTTTCTCGTTTAAATAACTACATGCCCCTGATTAGGTTTGAATCCTCGCAGAAAATAATTTTTTGATCATTAGCCCATTAGTCCAAAGCGTTAACCATTCGGCAATGCCGCAGCAGTTACGTCCATTAAAATGTGACCTCTTACCTTATGCGCAACGCACCCATCATTGAAAATTCCTCTGTTTTACCCCATTGATAATCAAGCAATGATACATTGAGTCCAA